TGGTGCATTGGAATATCTGCAAGAAATACCACTTGCTGGCAAGGAAGAACTGGTGGGACCACAAAACAGACAAAGTAATGGAAAATGAAGATGCTGAAGTGCTCTGAGACTTTAGAATTCAAACACACAAGCACCTGCCACATAACACCCCAGACTTAACAACTGTTGGTAAGAAAGACAAAAAAGTCTGGATAGTGGAATTGCAATACCTGGAGACAGCAGAATAGAAAAGAAAGAACTGCAGAAAATCACAAAATACAAAGACCTGCAAATAGAAATAGAACGACTGTGGCAAGAGAGCAAAGAGTACCAAGAGTAATAGGTGCCTTGGGTGCAATACCAAAACATCTGGAGCACTACTTAAAGACCATCAGCATTGACAAAATCACCATCAGTCAATTGCAAAAAGCAGCTTTACCTGAAAAGGATATAAGCATCCTGCAACGATGCCTTTAACACCATCAAACAACAACATCTGCCTATCCCATGTCCTTGGGAAGAACTCGATAGGTGGATAAAAATGCAAAATCCAGTCTAGACACCTGGCTGTGTGACCAACAATAATAAATTGATTAAACTTGTATGCTGCCTGACTCTCAACGACTCTGGGTGGCTCACAACAATCAAACAGAAATTACAATAAAACTTTAGAAATAAAAAAAGATGGCAAGCACGATAAAGTCTTAAGGCGTGGGTGAACAGCCAGGTCTTCATGTCTCTTCTAAACTGCAGCAGAGTAGGGGCCATCTGGATCTTGAATCTAGTACTACACTAAAGCTATGCATGAAACTGGATTAGATTCCTTGGAATCTAGTATTTGGAATTATCATGTTTGAGTCAATATCTCTAACATACAAGTTTGATTTTCAATTAGACACTCCCTCAAATGCCCTAAAATTAAATAATAATAAAATTAAGCCTCCAAATTGGCTCTTCTTTTCAGTATTTTCCTGTGGTTTCTAATCATTTCCAATAAATTATACATTAACAGAAAATATGAATGGAACATTATTTCAAAGGAGGATCAATAGAATGATTTGGATAAGATTGTAATCATAGTTTTTTTCCCCCCAGATTGGCTACTGATTTATTAGAATATGAACCATGTGCATTTTGGAAAATGTTATCACCCTTGACATTTCATCTTTTCTCTATAGCAAATAGAGCAGTTTCTGCCTTTATGAAGTCTATAAGGCAGCCTTCCCCTCCATACGTGTTTACGCTTCTCAGAATTCCCAGATAATATTAATCCAGAATATGAAGTTGAGGAAAGCCTGTCTAGGCCTGTTAAGATAGTCAACAGAACTACATCTAACTATTTCTAGTATCATCAGACACCATCTGTGCTCAACCAGAGACTTGCTTAATAGTTTGGCTTACCTGATGAATCAAGTAGATACAGTAGCTAAGCTGCTGACGCTGCAGAAAGGGATGAAGGTAATAGAGAAAGTGGTGCAACTGCTTTTCACAATTCCTATATGGTACAATGATAGCAGTTTTGTACCGGGCTAGACAATGAGGTGGGCTATAGCAACCACCTGATCGGACATATGGATTTTTGCGGATAATTGTTCTTTCACTGTGTAGTGTATCAAATGTGATGGTTAAGAGTCCAACTGTATAAAATATGGGGTAGCATGAGAAAAAGAAAATTATTAAAAACTTGACAAATTTGTGCAAATTTCAAAATTAGCGCTTCTGAAAAAACAGGTGATGATTTTGACTATTTTCTCTCTAGACAGTATTTCTAAATGAACTCACATGGAAAATACTGGCTATGTTTGGATATTTCATTAAACAATGTTTTAGCATTACAACAAGGAGCCCACATGAACCTTGGGCCTTCACACTATTCTTCAGCATAGCTCTAAAAATTTCTGCTTAAATATGAGTTACTCAAGTAAGCCAGCTTCAAAGACTACAATTTGTCTAGGTAAGAACGTCATGCCAAGCAGCAGTTAATATAAAATGAAAGATTTTCTGAAGTCTGTCTTACAGTCACATTGGAAAAGGGTGATGGTAGAAAAGAAAGGCAAACTTACATTTACAAGAATAAGGGTTTACTTATTCTTGTAAATAGTAAACCATGTCCCATTGAAATGATTTTTTTCTATATAAAAATTTGTATAAATACTCATAAAGAAGTTAGTCAACAGCTTTCTTACAAAATGTATATGGATTTTCAGTTCTATCATTTTTAATCTATATTTTTTTAAAGAATGGAATTATGGGATCAGATTTTAATTTGTGTTTAAATAATTAGAGTTGTTAGGTATACACATCTTTCTGGGGCCAGTGAAATCACATAATGCATATAAATACAAAGAACACAATCTCTCATTCCAACTAAACTATTCAGATCAAGTCAGATATTACATTTCTTGAATTTGGATTGGAAATTCATAATGTCATTGAAGTGTATGATTTTACTGCAAACCTACTAGCTTCCAAACAGGAGCAAAACTCAGGAAAGAGCAGTTGGCCTGGTTGGCACATGTGTTGACTGCTGATCAAAATGAGTTGGATAAGCTTTGTGAAATAGATATATTATATCACGGTTCCTTTGCCTTCCTGCCTTACCCTACCATATTTGTATCTCTACTTTGCATTTAGACAAAATACCGGATTATAACTGTTATAGACACAGCTGCTGAAATCAAAAGAAAAATGTAGACTACGGAAGTATTCATCCAGCTTTCTCCATGATGCATTAGTGCAAGTAAAACACTGTATTATTGACTCCAAAAAAATAATTTGCATTCTTATACCACAATAAGACTTCTTAGTTTTGTACTCACCATCTTGGCAGAGATGGGAAGGGAAAGCAACTTACACTGTTATTTTAATACATTATATTGTTATTATCTTTTATTTTTAATCTTATTACTGTTCTGGGATGTCTGAAAGCCACCAGGATCAGGCATGACTGGAATGACATATAGGCCTAGTCAAATGAATAAACTTGCTGTCATTTTGCAAAACTAGTCTGTATTATTTTGACCTACGTTGTAGCAACAGTGACATCAGCTATTAATGCATAGTATCAGTAGTAGTCATGTTCACATGCTGTCTGCAAACTACCTCCATAAAATGACTAGTAAGGGGGATCCATAGCAATAATTGTTTATTAAGTCTAAGGATCTTGTACAACCTGCTACTCTTCTAATTTATATTGATAGGCAGGAGTTGCCACAGAAGAACGAAAATAACCTTCACGGATAGCTTTCATATGCTAGTCAAATCATGAGGCTACGCTGACCTAGATCAGCTTATTAATGAGATAGAGAGAAAAAAAAATCTTAACAACCTGTATTGTGCATATCATTTTATACATACCAATTATGTCTGACTGTGGTTTACAAGTCTGCATTGTGGCCTTATCAGGAGCAGGAGTAAACAAACTAAGATTTATATAGACATCCTCTGATTTTGAATAGTCCAATGACTTGCGCACTTTTAAATAACCCTGAAATAAAACTGAACTGCTGCCTCGGTAAAGTATCAAGACGAATATAACTTGAAAGGTTACCAAGAGAAGCAGAAAGCAAGGATTTTCAGCTCGAGAAAGATTCATTTTCTTCATAAAGAATTTAATTCTTATTTAGTTCTTCAGGACATTCCAGTGTTTTAACTTCATAGGTACAGTAGTTAAAGCTTCAGTAGATGACTTTTTGAGGTAACTGAATATGAAGATTGTCATTTTTGGGAAGTATCCTAGATTCTCAGCATGATTTCTTGAAACTCACAGGGTATTCTAGATCAAATGTTTTATATTTTAACCATCTTTGGTGAATCCATTCTTCCATTATTCAATCTGCAATTAATATGGGAAAAGTAATAAAAATGTGCTAATAATATACAGCTTAATTACAACTAACTCTTTCAATTATATGTAAAAGTATTTCAAGCATGAAAGAAACATTAATTTAAACTAGACAACAGATCCAACCTGTATTAGGTGGTCCTAGGTTCAGTCCCTGGATTCTTCTGTTAACTGATGTATTCTTATTGTTTTTATTTTTTTGTTTTAAAATAGAGATTATTTTAAATCTTTGCTTTTTTTGTACATTGCTCTGGGCTCCCTGAAGGATTAATTTAAACTAGACAACAGATCCAACCTGTATTAGGTGGTCCTAGGTTCAGTCCCTGGATTCTTCTGTTAACTGATGTATTCTTATTGTTTTTATTTTTTTGTTTTAAAATAGAGATTATTTTAAATCTTTGCTTTTTTTGTACATTGCTCTGGGCTCCCTGAAGGGAAAAAGTAATATAAAAATCAGCAATATGTTTAGTATAAATATATAAAGTTATTGCTGATAAGAAGGCAACCAAGTGGTCAGACTTTATTTAGTTCAGATACTGTTGATTAATACAGTCCATTTTCATTCTCTTGCAAGGATGGGAAGTTTATACAAGCTGATACTTTAATTTAAAGCAGTTCTGATACAGTATGGTTTAAATGCAAATTTCCATAGACCAAATGAAATGATGGTATAGGTCTACAACCAATTAAGTTTCTTTCCAATCACTGAAGTTTCTATTTTAAAAGGTAAATACACCAGTAGAATTTTTACATAAAATATTATATGGAGTATCCTCAGCCCAGAAATCCAAGCAGCAACATCTGATTTCTTTCTAAATATTCCATTCTAATTTATTATCTTCCTCAAGCCTACTGTGTTTTCCATTTCAACCTCTGTCCTCCCCCAAGTGCTGCCTTACAGGTAAAACTCGAAAAATTAGAATATCCTGCAAATGTTCATTTATCTCAGTAAGGCAACTCAAAAGGTGAAATCAATATATGAGATAGACGCATTACATGCAAAGCGAGATATGTCAAGCCTTACTTTGGTATAATTGTGATGATTATGGCGTACAGCTTATGAAAACCCCAAATTCACAATCTCAGAAAATTAGAATAGTGTGAAAAGGTTCAATATTCTAGGCTCAAAGTGTCCCACTCTAATCAGCTAATGAATCCATAACACCTGCAAAGGGTTCCAGTGTCCCACTCTAATCAGCTAATGAATCCATAACACCTGCAAAGGGTTCCAGTGTCCCACTCTAATCAGCTAATGAATCCATAACACCTGCAAAGGGTTCCTGAGCCTTTAAATGGTCGCTCAGGCTGGTTCAGTAGGAATGACAAGCATGAGAAAGACTGCTGACCTAACAGTTGTGCAGAAAACCATCATTGACACCCTCCATAAGGAGGGAAAGCCCCAAAAGGTAATTGCAAAAGAAGTTGGATGTTCCCA